CACATATGCTGTTAACACTGTTTGATGAATTGGGAATGACACTTGGCTCAAGCTGGCTGAGTTCGAGTTATGCGGTAATAACACTGGCTTGGTTTATGGCTTGCTCTCTCATTTTCGAAACCTTACTTAAATTGAAATTAAAGATGTTATTTTAGTGAAACTGATCTAAATAATTATGAATATTTGTCTGTTACAATTTCTTTCGGCTAACTGAAAAAGTGAGCCATAAATTTTAGATTAAAGCTGCTAGTCTTGTAAGTTTTCTGAATTGGTTTGTAACTGATTTATACGATCGTTTCCTTATTTTCTTGGTGCACTCTCTTGCCACAAAAGACTTCCTCCGGCGTGTGAACTTGTCAAGTCCGATACTTAAAGAGTGAAAATTTTACGATCAATTTCCGTTGCCCGAAACATAACCGAAACATGTTATGAGATCCATAAATAGAGAAACGGCACGGAAATTGTAAACCCATGTAGGCAGCCGCACTAAATATGAACATTAGAAACCATAAATATTAAAACATAAAAAATAGCCATAAAAAAGGCATCCCGTGGACAGCCACAAGCCACATTTTCTACAATGTAAATTCAGTGCTGGAAAATTAATTTCTAAACAATGAAACCAGCTGGAGTTCTACGAAGGGAATGCCACCCAAAAACTGTGGAGGAGTCGGAGTCTCACAATTAGTCACAATACACGATCGCTGTGAAGAAATCGGGAAAATTTATAGGGACTGTCTGGTCTGGGTGCCTTTATCGAAATGCATTTCCATTTACAAGAACTAATCCGATACCCGAGCTCTGGCTAGTGTATAAAAATCAATGAATAAATAAACAGAACAACGGAATCCCTCCAAATGTGCAGCATTTTCATTGATTTTCATTCATTTTCTCAGTTAGTCGTTGTTGTTCCCGCGTTGATTTATATTTATTTTGGGCTCGTTGTGTGAATTCTGTCGGCACCGGCGACAGCTAAAAGCTTTGGCGGCACACGTCTGCCCTCCAATCAGGTGCCTTTAGTCGGAAGGGAACGAATACGATTTCTTGCAGCTTAATGAGTCTGCGCGATAGGCTATAAAAGTTATTTCCAATTTGTAATGCATTTTAAATGTTTGCCCTGTTCCTAGCAGGAGTTAAAATGAATTCGGAAAACCCTAAAATAAATACGGAAACACACAAATAACTAATTGATAAGAATAAAGTTTAAATGTACCGCGAACATTATCGTTTCTATTCCACTGTGCTTAATGATAAGATATAATTTTCGAAATGCTGCTTGTTTGTGCACATGCACATGTATATGTGCACACACAGTCATACGTGTGCTCTATTACGGTTAATCTAAATTTATATTGTTGTTGCATTCCATTTGTGTCTCATAAATAAGCGCTTGCAAAATAGAGAACAAGTTTAGCCAGCAATCAGCTCAAATAGGCTGTTAGCAGCGGATCAGTACATGTGACTCCGTGGCGCAACGGTAGCGCGTCTGACTCCAGATCAGAAGGTTGCGTGTTCAAATCACGTCGGGGTCAGTCGGTAAAATTCTTTTTTTTTCATCATAATAAATGTTATAAATATTATTTTAAGCGAATCACATTTGTTCACATGCTAATAATAATATTTCAAAGTTGTATTTATGATTAAACCTATAAATTCTGTTCTACATAGTCTTTCATTGCTTAATAAAGTTGTTTTTGTTGCCGTAATAATTATTGCAAACATATTTCAACACCGCAACTTTATACCAATTGAACCCACAGCTTAACAAATATGATTGCTTAATTAGCGACGTTTTTGTTTCATAAATGAAAACAATTGTAAATGTCAACAGTTGTCGCTTGTCGCATTCACTACACATAATTACAACAATAGAAGCAACAACAACAACAACAACTGTTGGGTCAGGGTCACCACCCGCGGTCTGTCATGTGGGCTTCCACTCAGGTTCCTACCCCAAAATGCAGTGTTGTGTCACATCATAAAAGTGTTAATTAGTCTGCCAACGAATGTAAGCAACATACTATGTTCCTGGGTTCGATTCGCTTTAACCATGTTGTCAAAACCGATTTTCGCAATCGCGACGTTAATTATGCAGGAAATTAAACAAATAAATTCTTCAGAGTCAATAATTTTGACTGAATATAATCAGTCTGTCTTCTGCTGTGCAAATAGTGGAAATTTAAAGCTTTATTGACATTTACAGTAAAGATACTGATTCAGTAGTATCACAAACATATATCTAATAACTATCTAAATTGAATATATCTAAATTCGTTTGAGTAAACTTTTCTTTTTTGTATTCCGTTTGAGCAACTAATGAATATTCCTGCAGGGGTATTTAATTTTTGTTGTTGAGTCAAGTAAGAGAAATTCAATATGTTTGTTTCCTTGACGTCCCAGATAGTCGTCAATAAATATTTAATTGATTTCTGATTGCAAGATACACATGTGATTGGCACGACATTGATTGATTTATATGAGAGAAATATGAGTGAGTTTAAGACTAGTCAAAATATGTAAGAATATCTGCATAGCATTCAGAAAATGAGAGAGCTAAGAATATTTGCTATTAAAACATCTATTTAGAAAGTGCAAATTGCCTATTCCTGAAAATCAAATGGTACTTCATTCATTTTTTTTACAGTGAGTACATTAGTTTTTTACCACATATCGTGCTACACATTTAAAATTGTAATTAATAATATATCGGACAGAAACTTAAGTGCTTTCTTGGTCAAGTCAAGGCAAGGAGCACGCCCACTTAAACACACACACAAGCTCAACTATAATCACATGGGGAAAAACTAAAGTTGGAAAACGACAACTTTGAATGCCCCGCCTCGCTGTCCTCCCCTCTGCCTAAAAATTCAAAGACTACTTGTCACTGGAAACAGTTGTAAAAATTCCCATGAGCAGCGCAAAACTGAAAGCGCAAACGGTCAATATGAGTGCGGGGGTGTGTGCGTGCAGAGGGGCATCCCTCATATACAGGCGCATCATATTTTCTAGACGCTCATATAAACAAATAAAAACCCATTAACGAAAACCAACAACTTTACATTGATGTGTGCGCTTCTCTCTCCCTCGCCCTCTTTCTCTCTCCCTCTTCCCCTTTCCTTTTTACCATCACTCTGCTGTGATTAACGGCGCACTGTGAAGGGCGCAAGAAAGTAGCGGCGAGCAATTAACAACTACAACAGCAAACAAAACGAACAAGAGGAAGAGTCGCAGCAGAGACAGCAGCCCAAAGAGTGACTCTGCGACTGAGACAGCGGCGGAGGCTGAGCGATCAGCACATGTGCGGGCGCAGCGGTACAAAAAGCAACAACAATGAAAATAGCGATAAGCAGCAGCCGCAGTCGCTGCAACTGCAGCCCATTAGATAAGCAAAGCGGCGCAGTCGGTGGCCCAACTTGCCCCGCACCCAACTGAGACAGGCGCAGGGCCCAGCTGTGTTTGCTCTGCCGAAGCGGAGCGATGTAAAAATAGCGCAAATCTGCAGCCATACAGAAACGCACACACACACACACACTCGCGTACAGTTTTCGTGTGAAATATTTTAATATTTGCTTACAAAACAAAACGCAAAGTGACGAACTTACAACGCAAAGTACAACGAGAAAAAATAAAGTTGCGGGCGGCGAGGGGTAACCAAATGTATTTCTTTGACAAATACTCAATCAGAGCAGCAACCGCGCTAAATATGAGGGCAACATGTTGTCAACTTGACGTAAGGACAGAGGCGTGGATGATAGCCAAAGGGGTAATCAATAAATATTTACTCGGAGATTATTAAAAATGAATTTAACGAAACTATATAAACTCAAATTTTATCAAATATACATATATATATTTGAAAGAATGAAGACCACAGTAGCTAAGCGCCAAGAATGAAAGAAAGAATAATTTGCAGTCAACATGGATTTTGTAGAATTTGGCGCACCCCCTGCGGGCACGTCTATGGGCTAAGGCGTTTTGCGTCAAACTAATCAGAAGAGAGAAGACTTACACACACACACACACACACGCACAGATTTGTGCATTTGTTTTATTTCAGGGCCTGCATTCGCAGAATCCGAATCGTTTTAGCTGCTTGTCACACGCTCGTAAAATCAACCAAATGCAGGCGACTGTTGTGACACTTGGCGTGACAAGGACAACAATGAAAACAACGGGACTAAGTTGCAGTTGGTAAAATGTTTAATGAGTGACAGGCCAAAGCAGGGAAATCTGCAACTGCGGTAGGTTAGAGCCAGGCTGGGATTTGTCGCGCTGGAATGAAATGGAATGCCAACTAAAGAGCAGGGTGGTTGGAGTGGGGTGGGGTGGGGCTTGCATATTATGAGACAACCCTCCTTGGGCCACCCACTCAAAATGCGTCGCCTTTTTGCATTCTGTGTCAGCTGTCAAAGCCAAAAGTGAAGTTGCCTTTGTATTTTTATGTGTGGCCTGGCCGATGAGTGGGCGTGGCTTGCCGGGCTGGGCTGGGCTGGGCTGGGCTGGGCTGGGTATGTGCTGCCGGGCAAAGTGTCCATTATGTTGATTTGAAAAATAAAAGCAACGGATGCGAGGCCTCAAACAGAAAGTGTGTTGTTGGGGAAGGGAGGTGGGGCAGAAATTTAGTTGATTGAAAGACAGTTATAAGCGTACTTGCTGCCTGTGCCTATTGAATCAGAGATTTGTCATAGTGCCAAGAATGTGATGGAATAGGGAGGTGGGGGTGGTGAGTACTGATTTAGAAGCTGTCAATCAGATAACAAAGCCACCCTCGGAAGGAGGAGAAGCTACTTAAATATGCACAAAAGCAATATTCAATCGGAAACCTTATTCGAGTCGAGATTCTGGACGTAATTGTCTATCTATGAGAGATGACTGAGGAACTTCTGAGCTCCTGAAAGGATGCCATCGCTAGCCAATCTGTGTGCAGCCAGGAACACAACTAACATGGCAATCGAATTCTCTCTCTATGAAATTCCACAGTAGTTTGGGTATTTTGTTTCTGTTGCTAGAACTCAAATAGAACTGTTATTCAAAACATAACCGAACGGGCTCATCGAAATTCCAAATTGCTGCAATCCTTGGACGTGGATTTAGCTAACAAAAAAACCAAAAGAAAAAAAAAACAGGAAAAAACAAAATGTCATCGTACCAGAAACACACATCCTTCAATTTCCTGTCCAAGGATGCCGCCGTTGGCTACTGCATGAACTATATGGTGAGAAGGAGTCGGATCTCAGCGACGCCAACCCCAGCTCCGAGCAGCGAAGCCAGCGACGAGCCGACGCCCAATCTGGACGACATCATAGCGCGCCTAACCGAGCAGGGCATGGTGGGCGGCAACGTGGCGCTCGAGGAGCACGAGATCAGCGAGATCTGCAGCAGGGCACGGGAGGAGCTGCTCAAGGAGCCGACGCTGCTCGAGCTGCGGGCACCCATCAATATACTGGGCGACATACACGGCCAGTTCAGCAATTTGCTGAAGTACTTCAAGATGTCGGGCTACCCGCCCGAAGCCAACTATTTGTTTCTGGGCGACTATGTCGATCGCGGCAAGCAGTCCGTGGAGACGCTCACCCTGCTGCTGGCCTACAAGGTGCGCTACCCGGACAAGATCTTCCTGCTGCGCGGCAACCACGAAAGCTCCAGCGTGAACCGCATCTACGGCTTCTACGATGAGTGCAAGCGGCGCTACACGGCCAAGCTCTGGCGCTCCTTCGTCGACTGCTACAACTGCATGCCGGTGGCGGCGGTGATTGAGAGAAACATATTTTGCTGCCACGGCGGGCTGAGTCCCAGTTTGTTTACTATGGACCAGATACGCATGATAAACCGACCCTGCGAGATACCCGAGCAGGGCTTGCTCTGTGATCTGCTGTGGTCAGATCCTGATGAAAAAACCTTGGGTTGGGGCCTGAACGAACGCGGCGTGAGCTACACCTTTGGGGCGGACATAGTCAGCTCGTTTCTTGACCGGCACGGCTTTAGCCTGATCTGTCGCGCCCATCAGGTGGTCGAGGATGGCTACGAGTTCTTTGCCAAGCGACAGCTGCTCACACTCTTCTCGGCGCCCAACTACTGCGGGGAGTTCGACAATGCCGGCGCCATGATGTGCGTCGATGAGAACCTCCTGTGCACCTTTCGCATACAGAAGCCTTTGCCCACTAAACGCTATCAAAATATGACAATCAAAAATTTTTATAATTCAACAAACCCATAATCATTGACTCGTATTTTCAGGACGAGCCGTAACAGTTGATGCAGTCTATAAATTAAGTGTCTTCTGGATTGCTCAAACAGTCTGAGTGCCAAATTTTGAAGTCTAGTGTTGTACAGTGCTGTGTAAAGTCAAAATATACATAATAGTAATATTCAATCGTGTACTTATTAAATAAAGAACATACACTTTCAATTAAGATTGCGAACTTAAACTTTTGGCACACGTTCGGGTTTGAAACTTAGCTCAATATATTAACAGTATTTTTAAAAGAACTATTAAACTTACACCAAATTTAAATACAACAAAAATTGGTTAATTTCTCATATTCAGATTTAATAAACTGCAATAATATTTATAACAAGAGGCTCTAGTCGAGAGCTCCCGACTATGGGATACCCTGAACCCTTTTCTACCAACACCAAATGAATTCTTGCAATTTGTGCTAGCTGCCGCTGACACGAGGCTAGCCAAAACACGTTTTGTTAAATAACTTTTCTGTTTCTTAATCGATTTTGATAAAATTTTCAACAGTAGATCTTATTATGCTATAGAATAGTCGTATATTCTCAAAATGACAATTGCATTTAAATTGTGGCTTAAATTGGTGGGTGGGGGTAAGTTACTTTTAACTAGGCTTGTATGGTTAACAAAATGGAGCTTCAGGCTTAAACCGGTTCGCCTTAAAACTGGTTTTTGGCCCTGATTTCATTAAATCAAAACTACGCATAATCAATAAAATATTTATGCTCACTTTTGTGCCTTTGAATGCGAAAATTAATTAAATAATTTGTTTTGTAAATTCTTAATTAAAAATACTCGCACAGCTGGCGGACTAAACTGCCGCACAATAAATTTGTATACTATTTGAATAATTTATTTTGTCAATAGCAATTAATGTTTAATGCACAATTTTTTGCCTTGATGCATCAACAAAAATCTCATCCGGTTAACGAAATGCATGCAATTAATATTAATTTGCTAAATTATTTGCATTAATTCACACACAGACAGCCATAAAATAAATTAAATTATTACAGGTCTAAATGAGCGTCGGATTTTACAATTTCCCGGCTAATTGCACGGGTCAGCGAAATGGTAATGACTGCAACAAATGCAACAAATGCAACACATAACAACAAAAGTGAGGTGGAAAGTGAGTGCAGCTAAAATAATTACTAAAATGCATTATAACACGCACATTCAAGGAATGTGTGGGAGAGGGCAAATGTTGTAAAAATGGGGGAAAATTAAATGACACTGCAAATTGCAAAGGGAATAATTTAATGACAGTCCATTTGGGTATCTGGTCGCCCAAAGTGGCCAAAATGTTAATTTGTGTGAGTGGATGAGCACATGGATAGTGGCAAAGCCTTGAACCAAATCGGTAATGAAAAATGTGCGCATAGTCGAAAGTGGAGCACTCGCTGGGGGAGCGATTACAATATGGAATCACTAATCAGCAGAGCAACTTATCATCACATGGAAGAGTCACCCTGGCCCCATGTGTGCCCACCAATCCGGCCAGAAGAGCAAGAGAAAAGCAAACAAGACTCCGCATAAGAAGGGATAGTTGAAGTCGGAGCAAACATGAACAGAGAGCCAGCACAAGGACAAGGAGTTGTCATGTCCTGGCCCTGACTAACGACAACAAAAGCATATCACTGGACAGGCAGCTAAAGAAAACATACCCAGGAAACTGTGTCCTGTGTCCTTTGCCCGAACTCGAAACAAAGTCAATGCGCATAAATTGTGCTGCATGTCCAGGGGAAGAAAGTCAGAGGAGAGGGGGGTTGGGCAGTGGCACGGCAGAGGGCGATAGATGCATTAGATAGACGCCGACATAGTGACAGGGACATACATAAGCCGAAATATCCACAAAACTAATCTGCCGGCGCGCCGGCGAAGAAAGTGCAGGCAGGGATTTACATATTAAGCCATTTTTAATTTACGACTTGCCTAAAAAGCTGCTGCCAAAAGATACTTTCTCCACATGTACACACACGCACACACACCCCGCACACACACACACACATGCGCCTGGCTAAACAGCAGATAACGAACATTGGAAGAGCAGCACACAGATGGATGATAAAGGCGCCAGTCGAGCAAAAGGATAACGACAGCAGCCTTGCGGAATGGGTGAAATCTTCACCCAACCAACCCCAGCCCAGCCCAAGGAGAAGACCAAGTCTCTGCCCGCGCCCAAAAAAAACTTGATTTCGAACCTGGCCAACCCCTCCCACCCCTCCACCCAGCAAGAGGTTGAAACGGAAGCAGTTCGCCAGCAATGACAGTAATAAAATAAAAGTAAATCCGTGCTTTGCCGGCTGTCATCTCTCTCGCCCCCCATCTCTCTCTCTCTCTCATCCCTCTCTCTCTCTCTTGGCTTCTGTCAAAGTTGACATTGACGTACAAGTCTCGGAAGTGAGAACTGCGGCGTTGTTTGGGCAACTGTTTAGCTGTTTTTCATGTTGCCCGAATCTTGAGGAAATGTGGCAAGAAAGTGAAAACTTTCAGAATGTTTTGAATTTGTTGTCGACTTCGTGAAAATTGTTGCTTGTCGAACACTTTCCTATTGCCAAGGTGCAGCCGAACTGAATTTTCTATCTTAAAGCTAAAGAGTACCTTTTTTATGCTTAAAACTAAAACTAAGTGAAAAAAAGTAAGAAAATAATATGTTACACATTTAATGGCCGCATTGGTATACCTTCTGCATACCTTCTGAATAATATGTGTTAAGTTATCTGTAAAATAATATTAAAGAGTCTTTTGTTTATGCGAATATTTCTTCTAGGTATTACACTTCAAAAAGTCTATTTAATATACAAAATAAAATGATATTTCCCTTTGCCAAAGATAAGAGTAATGCCCAGTCTAAGCTCGTTTTCGGCAAATGTTTTACGCTCCGACGCCCACAACAGGTGCGAGGACGCCTTCCCGAAGTTGACTATGAAATAGCAAATAGCATGGAAGAGCCATCAATCATGGGGCTTTACAACACGGATGAGCTTTAGCCCCCGCCCCCTGTCTGTACAACTAAAAGCATAAGCTAACGGTAGTCACAGAATGCCACCCCTTTCTTGCATTCCCTGTAACCACAAGCATGTTTTGAAGGGGTGTACTCGCACTCTAGCAAATGTCAGAGTTGATATAGAAAGGTATGTCAACTATTGGTAATCGGTTAATGTGAAGGAAAGGCATATTAAGAGATCGAATGGATATACCCTGCATCTTCAAGAACTATTTAAATTTTGAAAGGGTGTACTCAGAGCTGATATAACTATCTATACAATTTATCTGAAGAAAATATGTATTAAAAGATCGAATGGATATACCCTGCATATTTGAGAAAATTCCTAATTGTACCTCAGCTCCAACAAGTATCAGAGCTGATATAACTTTCTATACTGTCATAATAAAAATGTTTAATCGGGGAACGTACAGTTATGCCCTGAACATTTAAGAGCATTCCACAGTGCATACCCTATAAACGCGAACATGTTTTGAAGGGATGTACTCACACTCTAGCAAATATCACAGTTGATATACCTATTTATATTATTGTTAATTAACTTATCTGAATGAAAGATGTAATAAGAGAGCGAATGGATATACCCTACATATTTAGAATCATTCCTAATTATATACCCTGTAGCCACAGCCATATTTTGAAGGTGTGTACTTCAAGTCCAACAAGTATCATTTCTGATATATCTAACTATTCTTTAACTATGAGCTTAGCTGAATGAAAGTTGAACAAATATATATACCCTGCATATTTCTGAGCATACCAAATTGATGTACTCCGAAAATTGTTGTCCCCATAAATAATTAGAGAGTATCTACTGTTCGCACAACTTCTTTTAAACTCACTTTCTTGTTATTCTTTTTTTCTGTGGTTTTGTGGCGTCAAATGTGACGGGGCTGCACCGAATTCCCCACAACCCCCCAAAAGCCCAGCGGAAGGAAATGTTGGGTGTCTGATGATGATGAGGCTGATGATGATGATGATGTGGATGGTTTTCTGTTGTTGTTGTTGCGGAACTGAAATTTGTGGGGTTCTCCGCATTTTAAGTTTTCTTTTCTTTGGCTTTTGGGGTCCAAGGCTCAATGTCAGCTGCGGTTTTGTCGCCAAAGAATCGCCTTTGTTCGGCGGGCGACGGTTGTCATGTGTTGCATGAACAGTTCTTTGGAGTCATGCCTCAAATGGAGCCCAATGTGGCCACACAATGTGCACATGAGCATTCGAATTTGTGTGGGTTTAATTGTGTGATTACACAGAATTTACCTTTAAATTTGGGCATCGGGCAACGCACTCACCTGGAACGAAATGGAAATTATGATATTAATTAAAAGATTAAACATAAAAAGCAACATTTTACTTTTTTGCAACCCTTTTCAAAATCGCCAACTTGCGGACATTTAACTCTGACCCGAAAGGTTAAAAACAGAAAACTCGACAACAACAACAAAATAAACACAAGTAAGAACTCTATTAAAAATATGCCCAGCAAATGATTTACAGCCTCTTTTTTGCCCGGCCAAGGACATAAGTGAAACTCATGCTGGAAAAAAGGCAAACACAAAGAAAAACCTTTTATAACAATTTGAAAAAATAAAAATGAAACCATTTTATGATGGTAGGAAATTGTTGTGAGCACCTTTTAGGCTTGATTCCAGCTCTTTTTTTTATTTTTTTTTGAGGAAATGATAAAAAAGTGTTTAAAAATTTTGACAGGATAAGCGGGCGTTTCTCTATATGACAGTGAGAAATGAATAACTCACGGTTATGCGGCTAAATTAAGGGGGTTGACGAGGGGCAGATTGGTGGTAATGATGACTTGTCGATTGCAATCGGAGGGAAGGGAATGCCATATGTGTATGTGTGTGTGAGAATAGAGAGAGTAACTAAAAAGGGAATATATACCTAATGAAGCGTATGTTTCAGATGAATTTCAGTTAAAAGATTATAGAAATAATAGTGCTTGGAATATGTTAGAGTATCTACTGGAAATGAAAAATACTAAAGCTATTCAAGTTCTTTCTTTCAATAGGTCAAGTGTAGAGTTTCTCCTTATACGATGCATATATCACCCAACTGCATCCAATTAAAAGCTTATCAAAATATGGGCTACTTTCTCTTTTGTCATAGAACA